GAATGAATAATCCAGATTACATTTTACATGCGCTGCGCCTCTGTATTTGCCTGTGAAGTGGCAGTGGTCTCTAACTTTTTCATCATCAGGTTCAAATTTCTTACCACAAATGGAGCAATTAGATGCTAATCTAAACTCTAATTTTTGTTCGTTTGTTAAGTCATCCATTGGTTTAATCATATTCATTTTTTCAAATATATCTTTCTTAATTTCAGTCAGTTTTTCTACAAACTGTTTCATACAATCCTCACCTCTGTATAAGTATGGTTGGCATGTATTATCAATCCTGCTTACTACATTCAACATATAACCGCACGGTTTATGTTCCTGATATGTGCCTTTTATGCCAGTATTAGAGTTAGTGGTTAGACATTCAAAATCACCATAGATTACAAAAGGACAAGGCAATTTAGTATTATGCTTTTCAAATTCTATATAAGTGTCTTTATTAGGCATCGTTGTTTGTTGTCCTTCTGATGCCATACATCCTTTTTCAAGATGGTTCTTGTATGCCTTTTCTGATTGAAACGGATTTAAGCAATGGTGGCAGTAAAACATTTTATTAGTGTTGCTACTGCTCTGACAGTTTAATAATCTAGATTTATTTTTTACTAATACATAATGATAGTGATTATCTTCATCATAGACTTTTAACAAATCTATTTCATATTTAGCATTTCTATTTTAAGTTCCTCTATGTAATATGATTTTATTATCATTTAAGCAGTCATCAGGTTCAAAAACATTTATTGAAACTAATTCGTTGTTTTCTTCAAATCTGTCTATGTCCCTATTACCAGATGGAAATTTACACCATCCCAGTTCAAAATATAATCTTTCAATTTGTTATAGTGAAACATTTCCTCTGGGTGATGTTTGGACTGTTTTTTTTTGCACCCGGCAGGTTTTTTTTTTGATCTGTTTCCGGGCTACAGGGTTTCAAATAGTACCGTTTGGTTGGGAATGTTTTTTTTTTCAGATTTGTTTCCGGGGTGTAGGGTTTCAATTGGCACTGTTTCCGGGGTACAAGGTGTCAAACAGTACCGTTTGGTTGGGCAGGTTTTTTTGGATGGGCACGGTTTTTTTTGGAGCTGTTTCCGGGGTACAGGGTCTCAACTGTTTGGTTGGACACCTCTGTCGGGTTGCTTTTTGACCTGTTTGGGTCGTTTTTTCCGTCGGCAGGGGTTTGTGTGCACCTGTGTGGGTTTCGTTTGGACCCGTTTGGGTGCTTGCCCGGCGGCAGGGTCGTTCGGGCACCTCTGTGGGGTTGCTTTTTGACCTGCTCGCCGTTCATGGGCTGGATACGGTGGCGAAACTTCCACTTGCGGGGGTTGCGTCCCTGTGGCAAGTCTATCCACTTGCGGCCTATGCGTCCTT